AAGCTGAAAGCTGTAATAGGTTGACTCAGGGCTACAAAGTGCCCATATTTAGTTAGCCTATCAACCACAACCCAGATAGCTTCCTTCCCTTTTGAATTGGGCAAGCCCACAATAAAATCCATGGTGATGTGGGACCAAGCTTGCTCTGTAATTGGCAAGGGTTGCAGGAAACCAGGGTTCCTTACATTCTCATGTTTATTAATCTGACAAATATGACACTGCCTGACCACTTCTTCCACTTGTTGCTTTAACTGAGGCCACTTGAAAGTGTTTAGAACCATTTGATAAGTTCCTTGTATCCCTGAGTGCCCACCAAAAGTTGAAGTGTGTATGTAATTGATCACCTTGCCTCTGAAATCAGAGTTACTACCCACATAGACTCTGCCTTTGTATTTCAGGATTCCCTCACAATATTCAAAGTAAGAAACATCCATGGATCTCAAAGTGCACTCAGTGATAGCTTCATGTGCCAGTTTATCTCCTAAATAGCTTTCCACCAACTCTTGCATCCACATGGGCTGCAGAACAGTAACTTGAGCTAACTCCATTGGTTCATCTCTTCTAGACAGGGCATCAGCTGCCTTATTTCCAGCCCCCTTTTTGTACTCAATAGTGTAATTGCATCCCATTAGTTTTGCTAGGTACTTATGCTGAATGGGAGTGGAAAGTTTCTGCTCCAATAGATATTTGAGACTCCTTTGATCTGTCATAATGGTGAAGGTACCACAGATCAAATAGGATCTCCACTTCTGCACAGCTAGTAGGATTGCCAAAAAACTCTTTTTCATAGATAGATAACCCCACATTCTTGGGTCCTAATGCCTTGCTCAGATAGGTCAAAGGGTGCCCTTCTTGTATTAGAACAGCTCCTATACCATGGTAGCAGACATCTGTCTCTACTATGAATGATTTGCTGAAATCTGGCAGCTGCAGGACAGGGGTGCTAACCATTGCTGTCTTGAGAGCCTCAAATGCCTTAGTGGCCTCCTCACTCCACTGGAAGTGACCCTTCCTTAGCAAGTTTGTCAAGGGTTTGGCAAGAATTCCATACCCCTTGACAAATTTTCCGTAATACCCAGTCAGCCCTATGAATCCTCTGATTGCCTTAACTGTCTTGGGGGTGGGCCATTCCTTGATTCACTTTATCTTCCCTTGATCTACACCCACTCCAGCATGGTTGATCACATGTCCTAGATATTCCACATGCATTTGGTTAAAGCTGCACTTGGAAGTCTTGGCATACAACTGGTGCCTCTTTAATATTTCCAAAACTACCCTCAAATGTTCCAAATGTCTGGCTTCATCTGGACTGTAGATCATTATGTCATCAAAGAAAACCAACACATATTCTCTTAGCTGCTCCCTGAAAATTTCATTCATTAGATATTGAAAAGTGGTTGGGGCATTGGTGAGCCCAAAAGGCATGACTTTGAACTCATAATGCCCTGAGGATGTCACAAAAGCTGTTTTTGGGATATCCTCTGGTCTAACTCTTATTTGGTGGTATCCTGCTCTTAAGTCAATTTTAGAAAATACCTTAGTTTTACCCAACTCATCCAATAAGTCATCAATGATTGGAATGGGATAGCTATCTTTGACTGTAAGTGCATTCAATCTTCTGAAATCCACACAGAACCTCCAGCTTCTATCCTTCATTTTCACCAAGAGAACTGGAGAAGCAAAGGGGCTAGTGCTAGTCTGCACTATTCCTGCCTTGAGCATTTTTTCTATCATCCTCTCCACTTTTTTCCTCTGTATATAGGGGTACCTATATGGTTGAGATTTAAAAGGAACAGCTCCTTCCTTCAGAGTAATTTGGTGGTCAATGCCTTTGTGTGGAGGTAATTCCTTGGGTTCTTGGAAGAGCTCCTGAAACTCCTCTAGTAACTCTTCTACTCTAGCTGTATGTTTGCTCCCCTTATTGTTCTCCCTTTCCTCTTGACCATTAATCATAAAGAAACAGCCCAATCTCACTTGTCCTTTTTTGAACATCTTGTTCAATAACTGACCAGTAATCATGCTGACGGTAGGTTCTTGTTTATCAGCATGAATGATGATGCCTCTCACTCCATGCCTTAATGTAACAAATTGGTTGACATGGTCAAACAGGACTGGGCCAAAGCTCTGCATGAAATCTACCCCTATCACAGCATCACACCCTCCCAATTTCAATAATCTCATCTCAAATATAAAATGGTGGCCCCCCATTTCCCATTGAAATGCAGGGCATTTAGCATTGCAGTTCATTTGGCTCCCATTGGCCACTGTTACCATCAAGTTGTTGGTGTACACCACTTCACATCCCAATTTCCTTGTTGTCTGTGGATCAATAAAGCTATGTGTGCTTTCTTTATCTAAAAGTAAAGAAATGTAGTTGTTCTTGACTTTTCCTTTAATCTTTAGTGTGTTGGTTGTAGCTTGCCCCATTAGTGCAATGAGGGAGATCCCCAAAAGCTCATCCTCTTCTTTCTCTGCCCCTTCTTCCAACAGAACATGTTGCTCTTCATCCTCCAGTACCTCTTATATACCATCAATGGTTAATAGGTTCTTACATTTGTGATCTGGCACAAATCTCTCATCACAATTGAAACATAACCCTCTCATCCTTCTGTCTTCCATTTCAGGCTTTGATAGTTTCTTTATGATGGCCCCCATGTTCTGTGAGTTCCAGCTTCTGTTTGGCCCTCCCTGGTTAGTCTATCTGCCTCCTTTACTCAGCTGATGTGTTGTTTGTCTGACTGTAGATTTAAATCCCATCTTAAGGTGCTCCAAGGTGTTCTCATACATCTTGGCTATTTGTATGGCTTGTACCAGTGACATTGGCCTAAGAACTTTGACCAAACTCTTAAGATCATCCCTCAATCCCCCAAAGAATGCTCTTATATAGTAAACCTCTCCCAGATTTCTATGTGCTTGAGCCATAAAGGCCTTAAGTTCCTCAAACTTAAGTCTATAGTCTTCTACCGTACCCTCTTGCCTTAACTTGTGGAACTGCTCCACTATATCTACTCCATCATCATCCAAAAATCTCTCCAAAACCATATTGGAAAAAACATTCCAACCCACAAACTCCCTTCCTTCCAGATAATCCATATACCAATACTCAGCCTTATCTTCAAGGTTCATGGCAGCCATAATAACCCTATCTACATCAGGCATAGGGTTTAAGACAAAGTACCTGTTGCATCTTCTGATCCAAGATCTAGGGTTATCTCCATTGAACTTAGGGAAATCCCCTCTCTGTGTCCTCTCATTGTTGTAGTTGTGAAATTCATTGACTCTTTGGGGAGAATTTTCTGGCATCAATGGGTTGTTGCCCTCATTCATATTCTGCATCATAGGGTTCCTTCTATTGCTGGGTTCAGTGACTCTTTCAGGGGTGTAGCCAGGAAGAATAAGAGGTTCCTGGTGGGGTGTATAGAGTATGTCCTGTTGTGAAGAAGACCCAAAGGCATATGCAGGTTCCTTCCATTTGCTTTTGGCCATGTCTTCCATCATTTTTCTCACCTGCTCCATGTTGAAACTCATATTTGTCATCTCTTCTCTTAAAGCCCTCATCTCAGCTTGGTGTTTATGGTTAACTTCTCTCTGCTCCTCTCTGAATGGATCTGTATTATCTTGTGGTAGATATGTAGATTCATCCCTGTTTCTGCTCATTTTGTGCATGGTAGATATATAATTCCAATTCCAATCCAAATAAATCAGAAAAATACGAGTTAGAATTTCGGAAGTCGGAATAAAAAAAAATTGTTCAAAATCAGAACTTCTCATATCGGAATTGGCAAAAATTGGAATTTCCGTTCCAAATTGCACCTCTAACAAAGAGACAAATATCAATATATAACTTTATTTAATGAAGTAAAGATATTTGTGTGGAAGAGGAAGCTGCTAAATGTCCAATAAGACAATGTTGAGCAAATGTCGTATTGGGACATGATATTGTACTATATTATTTTATCAACTAAAAGTTATTCAGTTTGGAAATAAAAAAAGAATTAAATTAAAAGCCCTGTCCACTTCCACAAAACTGAAACCTGTCTCCTTTTTCAAAATTTACAATAATCAGCTTTCATTTTAGTCACTGGTATTATCTTTATGTTAAACAGTTTTAATACTAAAAAGAAATTAGCAAGTATCTAGACAGATTAATTAATAATAAAAAACATAATATTGTTGCAAAAACAATTTTTTTTATTTTTTACTTTAATTTTTTTATATTTTATTTTTGTGTGAGTGATGAAACATTTTTCGACTAATTTCGATATGCATAGATTGTTTGTCTCCCACCCTCAGCTTTTGTTTGCCAATAGATAAACATTATCTTGTACTCTTTGAGCCTCACTTGATCAACAACTTGACCTATATATTTATTAGGATAACAAATGCAATATTAACTACCAATGCCACAACAAATTCGAGCACTTAGTTTTATCTCGTCTTTATACTCGCAACGTTCGAAAGCAATACGATCCCATCCCACTCGACACGTAAAAGATCATTCCATAATTCAGATATAATTTAATTGTCAAAAAGAAAAGAAAAAAACCATGTGTCTTTAATTAACGTAGATAGATCAAAGGGTAATCATGATCTTGAGAAAATTTCGATATACTAGTTCAGATTTGCTCCGTCGCATCAACCACTCGTGCTTAATTTCACGCGGAAAAAAATTTCCGGGATTAGAGTTTGATAATGGTTACATATATATATATATATATATATATATATATATATATATATATATATATATATATATATATATATATATATATATATATATATATATATATATATATATATTTGAGTTCAATCATGGAACAACAATCATCTCACCATTATAAGTCATAAGGGGTAATTAATTAAATTCTTGAATTAAATTCTTACAACAGTTCATAATTCCTATGTTGTTTTATATGACAAACAAAAGCTCAAGTATTACTTTCTTTAAGGTTATTATAGTTTCACTTAAAAATAAAATAACAATTACTGTCAAATAAAAAAAAGGGGAAAAATATCAGAATTCCATTAATTACCACATTTTACAGTTTTTGTACATTTATTTGATTATACTTACACCACAAGGTATATTATTACTCTTTTTACAACCATACTATATATACACTAAATGAAATGATCTGTCACTCCCCATCCCAGAGAGAAAAATCCCACGTGGCATAGTCATCGGAAAAGCAGAGGTCATAGTTCGAAAACTCGTCTTTATCACAATTTGATGACATCATCCATTCGGTCAATCTTGTTTCGTAAGGTGAGCTTGTCATGTTCAGCATAATATCCAATGCATCGGAAGAATCGGTCGTGGGCCCCACAATCTCATCGTTGACTGAACATGGACTGTCCGTTTCGCATTCTTCTGATCTCAAACAAGTATTCGTAGTGCTGCTCAAGCATTCTGTTGCATGAAAATATAATAAAAAAAATATATTTGAAATTTGTCGAGATTTATCGATTAACACATTGAATTTTTTTTATAATTATTATTACCTTTGTCCAAAGCTAGAGCTTTCTTCTTCAAATAACTTCTCCAGTAGTTCTTTATCTCGTTATCCGTTCGTCCTGGCAATCTACGTGCAATCATCGACCACCTTAAAATACAAATAATTAAAAAAAAATTATTAATGAAATCCCACTTCATAAACATATGCAGTGTGTTATGATCAAATCGTTGATTTCAATTTTGTGAAGGGAAAGGTAAAAAAAAAGTACTTGTTGCCCCATTTCTCGTGAAGTTGAATGATAATTCGCTCTTCGTCTGCAGAAATATTTCCGTGCTTAAGATTCGGACGCAAATAATTCATCCATCTCAATCTACAACTCTTGCCATTCCTTCTTAGACCTGCACATATATATATCAAAAATAATTAAACAAATTGATAATAATAATTCATAACTACTAATTAATGGTTAAAAATATGTTCAAGATGATTTAATCAAAGAAAAATGCCTGATGATTTAGCTAATGCATCCCATCGTTTATCTCCGAAAACAGCTACAGCAGCAGACAGCTGTTCGTCTTCTTCTTCGAGCCAAGGCCCTTTACGTAATTCCACTTCCTGCATGACTATCTCACACTAGTAATAATAGTTGCTTCAAGAAGTGTGTGGTTAGTCGAGCTTTTTTATACTCGTAAAGTTGCCAAATAGGGTAAGAAAAACGATAAAGTGCGAATGACCAGAACTTGTTACATTAGCACACGAGGTGGAATACACTAGGACGACTGTGGCAACTCCACCATTTCCATTATTACATTATTTCTTGATCTCGACACCCTTTTTTTTTCTTCTCATTAGGTCATCTCGTGAACTTTAACTTTGTCCTTTGATTTAACAAATCCACAGTGATGAAGTTCTATGAATCTATCAGTCTCGAAATTATTCTACTAAAAAGTTATTTAAATAAATAATTAATTGTTTAATCTTAATTATACTGCAGTTATATTATCCATCTAACCGGATAATATAAAGGTAAAGATAACATAAAAATTCAATCTTTCTTTAATCATCAACCATAATAAATATATCAAAAGCCACTTCACTCTTATCATCACAGTTACAAATATGTTTAGTGACGAATGGTATGTTGTTGCGTTAGTTATCGATATATTAAACTGCACTGAACAAAGGCCAACCTTGCAAGCTCTGACCTCATTATTTTCGTTAAATTCGTCGAGAAAATGACATAAGATTCGTACACGATGCTTAAAAAGTAAAAACAAAAAAAATCCAATAAAATAAGCAAAATCAAATTTAATTTTGATATAAATGTAATGGAGGGATCGAATAGCAATAAATATCAAGTCGAAATACATTCCACGACATACCCTCAGCTTCCGTTCTGCATATCTCTCAATTGTATTCATAGAGAATATGTTACTCAATTCCCT